CTGAGAGAGAGGAGAGAAGAGAAATTGACATTCTGAGAACATATCTGAGGCGGGCCTTCTGTCATATTTTGTTCTTCGAACTCTCAAAATATACCGTCCTCTATTCTCCTTGCAAGAAATTAAGAAATATTGTATGCAAATTTGATGGCATACACACCACAAAAAAAAAATTTAGAAAAAAACTATGCAAATGTGATGGAACGACAGAAAAAAAATTGAATGCAAATGAGACAGAACGACAGACCTGCAGTATACGACTGGGCGCCGAACAACTAATTAAATACACAGCTAAAGATATAATAAACCATTATTACGGAGAACTATGAAGTATGTGACTTTGACTTTCGACCTGTCCAGTAGGTAGTTGGGGGGTATAACTGTGGGCCTGACAGAGATGTTTTGTTAGTGTTTGGTGACCTGGTGCGGAGGACAGGTCTCAGGTGAGTGGAGGATTTTTGAGGTTGTTGTTTTGTTTTATGTTTAATGATACAACAGAGACTGCCATAGAAAAACAATAGTGGTCAGTTGGCAGGTGCTTCGGTGCGTGGTTTGCACCTTCTTTCCTATCAACTTACGGAACGTCCTTATCTCTCCTCCTTCTTTTATGTATCTATTGCTCTCTTTAACACCTTTAATCTTCTGCACTTACATGGTGTAATTGTGCTGCAAGTACCGTTAAAACTCTTACAAAAACTAAAAGAAAAACAACGGAAGGCCAGTGTGTTCTACACCTGAACATTTGATTTCTCTTGTCCTGAAATAATAATATGACTGAACGTTCTTCCATTGTGGCATTAAATATTCAGCAGCTGTATACAGCTAACGATTTCGTCAGTTTGTTAGTGTTTGAGCACTTCATCCGCGACTGCTTGCATTGTATGCTTCCCGGGGAGCCGAGAATGTTTGCTTCTGAGCAGGGGCGAAGGCTGACTTGTTTGACAGGGTAATCAAAGTTAAACGGGACCAGATATGGTCTGGAGATATCACACAAGAATCTTTCTCGAGGCGGCGAATCTGAGTTGTGAATGAAAACTAATCCGGAATTCACATTGTATGTTCAACCGCCAAAATAATCGGGAAAGTATCTTATTAAATATTAATTCCAACTACAATTACATTTTTAAGCAGAGATGTCAGTACTAGATCTATATGTTATAGATCTACCCGTGAGTCTAACTCTTTGGTAGAACATGACAATTATCCTTTTTTTTTAAATTTCACATTTGGCTGTTTTTAGAGGTGGGCAAAATCCGGATAATCTACAAGGATAACCGAATAATTCTCAATGAAACATTATCCGAATTCAGACTCTTAACTCTCTTTCCTGACCCGGTTGCCGAAGTGGGTGCACCCATTTGTTGAAGTTATGCTAACCCGTTTGGTTCTAACCCTTTTGCCGAAGCAGTTCATATCATATTATTTTTTGCCGAAGAGGTGCACTAACATAGTATCCGGATTTTGCTAAAGCGACTCATTGCCCAGCCCTACTGTTTTTGTCTAGCCTTTCGTGGCCAGGAGGCAGTGTCATAATCGAGGTCGCGATCTGATTATAGGACGGTAAAAAGTCGAGGAAAAAAAGCAAGCAATTGCAACAGTCAAGAGATAGTTAGGAGTTAGTTCCCCTCACATTTGTGAGGTAGACCGTAGACTCGACCAGTGTAATAGTTAGCTTACATAATCAGAGTTTGTGATTGCTTTTAACTGTGGCCCCAAAGGGGTGAACAGGGTATTTGTGTGGCAATGAAACAGTTAGGACTGCTATGCACCTGTTCCCTTCAACTCTATTGGTGGACTCTTCCAGCCTCACTTTAAGCTTACTTAATCAAAGCTTGTGACTGCTTATGGAGTGGCCCGAGAGGGTTGAGCAGGCTATT